CCATGGCACTCTACCGAGGGGGACAAAATAAGGCTCTGTCTAAAAAAAAAAAAAAAGTATGAAGCTACATGGGACAGAGAGTCCAACCGAGGTCAATCACCACAAAGGATATTTATTTAATAAGGAGGCTTGGGTGGCGCCTGTGGCTCAAAGGAGTAAGGTGCCGGCCCCATATGCTGGAGATGCCAGGTTCAAACCCAGCCATGGCCAAAAACTGCAAAAAAAAAAAAAAAAATAGCCAGGCATTGTGGCGGGCGCCTATGGTCCTAGCAACTAGGGAGGCTGAGGCAAGAGAATCGCCTAAGCCTAAGAGCTGGAGGTTGCTGTGAGCTGTGATGCCATAGTACTCCACCAAGGGCAACAAAGTGAGACTCTGCCTCAAAAAAAAAAAAACAAAAACAAAAAACAACCTCAGATGACAGCCACCCTGCCTGATCACTTGATTCCAACTTCACAAGAGATACTAGGCCAGATCACCCAGCGAGGCTGCTATCAGATTCCTGATCTTTACAAACTGTAGCAGGTGTACATTATTTTAAACAACTATGTCTTGGGGGTAATTTGTTATGTAGTGATAGGTAATGAATAACCCTTTAATCCAGAACTTCTGTGGATTTCTTGAGGCTAGAAATATCCCCTACTCTCTGAACTCTGACTATCCATACTTAGTAACTGAGGTAAACTATTGGATAAATCCTTTATTAACCAGTTTTACTACTCACTATCAGCAATGTAAAGAACCAAATATATTCAGATAATGTGGATTCTCTTAAGTGATCTATCTGAAGAGTTTAGATAATGCAGCCTAATTTTTAATGCCAAAATAGGCAAAGTACTTATTTAACTACAGCCACACAATTGTTTAAAAAAAAAAAAAAAAGAATGACATAGCTCTCTGTGCATCAATAGGGAAAGCTCTCCAGGATATACTGTTTAATGGAAAAAAAAAAGATGAGAGAATAAGTAGTGTGCATGACATGCTATCTTCTCTCTTGAGAGGAGAAGAAAAATACATGCTTGTATTTTCTTTTAAACTGCACAAAGGAACTCTCAAATGATTCAATAAAGAGGGTAAAAATAATCACCTATACGTGGGAAGAGGGGATGGGAATGAGGTGGATGTGGGACAGGACTGAGGCTAAGATTTGTACCCATTAATTTTTTATTCTTTGATTTTCGAACCATGTGAATGGGTTAACTTTTTAAAATCATGAAGATTCTAACATCGTTGAAAGCACAGAACAATTGGCATTGAGTCCTGTTTCTTGATAAGCATACAAAAATAACATAAGAACAATGAAAAACACAACTAAAATGTTTAAACTTTCAAAGCCCTGAGTATTTATACCATGATTTTCATTAGTTTCTTTGCTTAGTTATTCTTTTTTTTTTTTTTTTGAAACAGAGCCTCAAGCTGTCACCCTGGGTAGAGTGCTGTGTCATCACAGCTCACAGCAACCTCTAACTCCTGGGCTCAGGCGATTCTTCTGCCTCCGCCTCCCAGGGAGCTGGGACTATAGGTGCCCACCACAACACCAGGTGCAGTGGCTCATACCTGTAATCCTAGCACTCTGGGAGTCTGAGGCAGGTGGACTGCTTGAGCTCACAAGTTCAAGACCAGCCTGACCAAAAGCAAGACACCGTCTCTACTAAAAATAGAAAAACTGAGGCAAGAAGATCACTTGAGTCGGAGTTGGAGGTTGCTGTGAGCTATGACACTACAGCAGTCTACTATGTCCTAAGCACTGTACTTAGGACAACAGTTTGAGACTGTCTCGGGGGTTAAAAAAAAAAGAAAGAAAAGAAAAAGAAAAAGGGCTGGAAAAGTGTAACAATAAGCCAAATCTCCACCACCACCTATTTACTTTCTAAAGTTTTGATGAAACACAGTCACATCCATACATTTTCATATTGTCTATGACAGTTTTCTTGCTATAACAGCACAGTCAATGCTGTTATAGCTATCTGTAATGCTATCTGTCGCTTTACAAAAAAAGTTTGTTGACCCTGGTCTAAAATCATGAAAACTACCTTCTGTCATTAAGGGAAGAAATGGTAGTAACCTTCTTTTCAGTTACATGGTGATAGTGATTACCAAGACAGTCCCTTCTCCTAGTGGAGGTGATAATTAGCAACACAGAGCTAAAGGGTAGAAAGGGACAAGTGGACGAGCACAAAAGACTGACAAATAAAGCTCTGCAAGCTAGATATCCAGAACTAACAGCTCGATAAATCTTACAGATATGTGATATGGGGAAGCACCTCGGCTCTGAACGGGGGCCAGGTGAGACCATGCCATGCCTCCCAGCCTACCTGTTCTGCCAGCCAGGCAATGTGCTTGACCTCCTTGCTGCCTCCTGCTGTGCTGGTTGCACCAAGCATGGCATTGAGTTCAGCCAATACCTGTGGGAGGAGAGCCATTATGTTGGTGTGGATAGCTACGAACCAGGAGTGTGCCGTGGCTGTGTCCTTGCAGCGTAGGATCAACGTGTTCCTGCTATCAGGAGAATGTAGCTCTATTAATCTGTGTGGAAAAAGAAAAAAAAAGTAAGCTAGGTCAGAAGTCATCAAATCTGCTAGGGTTTAACATACATAACTGCAAATCTATTTTAATTTTGCATTTCTCAAAGATACTTTTTCTTAATTCCCTAGAGTCTAATTCCAGAGAAAACCACATATGGAAAGATAATCATCAGAAAGACTAACTGTTGGAGCTATTGTTTCCACGTGTTAAGGTAATGAGCTAAAATGATGGAGCATTTTGTATTGTCCGCAGTAGAGCACTCTGCTTTAACTTCCATGCCAAAGAAATGAAACCTTTGGTTGCTGAGTCTCACAGGCACATTGTAAAGAAGGAACTGATATTCTTTTAAATATTTGAGAATACTACAAGTATAAGGTAGTGCCAGTTTAAAAAAAATCTACTGGCAAATAATGAAATGAAGTTTTCATTATGTAGAATAAAGAAAAAGGAAATTACAGGAGAATATTACTCTTTTTATTTTCTTGGCTGGGGCTGGGCCTAAACCTGCCACCTCAAGTATATGGAGTTGGCACCCTACTCTACTCCTTTGAGCCACAGTGCTGCCCAGAAAATATTATTCTTTATGAAAAGTTGGAACTGCATTTTAGTGTCTAGCTAACATTATATGATTAAATCATCCAAAGAGTCATGGTGAAAATACAGTTAAGAGATCAACAATTTATTAATGCTCAACTGAGAACAATCTATATTAGGGTTTCACATGGTAGGCTACAAATGAATTGACAAACTATCAATGACCAAGGAGATATCTCTATTTCCTGAAGACAATTTTTGTTGTCTTGAAGCAATGCCATCAGATTCTACACCACCTGTCAAAGATTGTATGTATACAAGCATTTTTACTTTGAAATTTGAGTCCTTCTGTTTTGCCACCTTTTTTTTTTTTGAGACAGAGTCTCACTATATTGCCCTCAGTAGAGTGCAGTGATGTCATAGCTCACAGCAACCTCTAACTCTTGGGCTTAAGCAATTCTCTTGCTTCAGCCTCCCAAGTTCTTTTGCCACATTTTTAAACCCTTTAAAATTCTGAGTATTTTAAGTTATTGTATTTTGTGTGATAATTATTCATTCTCATTTAAACTCTGGTTGGTCTATCCTTTCTTAAATATACCCCTAATTGAGCACCTACCATATGTCAGATACTATGCTAGACACTGGCATTGAAGATACAGTGATAAAAATAAAGCCAATCTCTCCCCTCACTGATCCTATAATCTAATGGAGAAAGCAGAAAATGAACAATTAACGAAACATAATTACAGGTTATAAAAAGCATTATAAAGGAATGTGATAACTAACTATTCTGGAGTTCTTGTGTTAAAAAGGCACTCCCAAGGTGGTAGCAGCAAAGTGGAACTACAATGGAAACCTCTAGACTCCTGGAGGTTTAAGGAGTCTTTTTTATTTTTTTTTGAGACAGTGCCTCAAGCTGTCCCCCTGGGTAGAGTGCCGTGGCATTACAGCTCACAGCAACCTCCAATTCCTGGGCTCAAGCGAGTCTCCTGCCTCCGCCTCCCAAGTAGCTGGGACCACAGGCGCCCGCCACAACGCCTGGCTATTTTTTGGTTGCAGCCGTCATTGTTGTTTGGCGGGCCGGGGCTGGATTCGAACCCACCACCTTGGGTGTACATGGCTGGCGCCTTAGCCACTTGAGCCACAGGCGCCGCTGGTTTAAGGAGTCTGAAACCTCCAGGAGTCTAACCTGGTGTCATGCTACAAGACAATTTGTAAACATACATACCTGGTACCTACCTCCTTACCCACACACTTCGTTTCCTATTGCAGATACCCATCTGACTACCTCCAAACCTAGCTACTCGTCTCTTTTATATGCCTTCAAAATTCTAGGGCAATAGCCAAATATGACAAAAGTTCTAGAAAATAGCCACAACTTAAAATAAGAACCGTGAACACTCAAAATGCTTAACACATTGCTAACCAGCAATTTTACACGGCAACTGTCCATGTTACTGGATAACTCATGACTGGTCAGCTATGTGTTAGGAAAGTCCCTACATGAAAGTTTTTATAACTCAGAGAAAAACCTTTAGATAACAAATCATAAGCTATTTGCTTTTGTTTTAGACACAGTTGTGATGAACTCATTTATTTGATGTGGTGGGTTCAAATCCAGCCTGGGCCTGCCAAACAACAATGACAACTACAACCAAAAAAATAGCCAGGCATTGTGTTAGATGCCTATAGTCTCAGCTACTTGGGAGGCTGAGACAAGAGAATCACTTAAGCCCAAGAGTTTGAGGTTGCTGTGAGCTGTGACGCCACAGCACTCTACTGAGGGTGACATACTGAGACTCTGTCTCAAAATAAATAAATAAATAAAAATAATATATAAATAAATAGGTAAGTATCTTTTACAGGACAGAAGTGTTTTATTTTAAAGGAGTTCAACCTGACAATTTTTTCTTTATGGATTATGTGTTGATGCTGTATGTGTGAAAACTTACAGGAGATTTTTTAAAAGCACAATCCTATGGGCTCAAGAAGAATAGGGATGACTACAATTAAGACTACAATAAATTCTGGAAGCTGGCAAGCAGATAAAGGAGTTAAATGACTTAGCAGACTTAAGAAAAGTAGAGAGAGCTGAATCCAGCCAATCCATGTTGCAGAATCCCTAAGAGGCTGGAGAAAGGGTGGCACTAATCCCTTCTGAAGTGGGAATAAAGCAGCTAAAATAAAGAGGCTGGATAAAAGCCTGTTTCAGCATTCCCTGTACCCAGTAAACAGTGACTGCCCCACCCTCATCCCAGCAAAAGACTCAGATCTACTCTCATCCCACCACACTGGGTGGGGAAGGCAGTGATGCCCTTAATTCAGTCTGTATACCAGACTGATCATTTTCTAGAGAGACCACTTATTTCCCCCTCATTCTACCTGGCATGTAACCAGCAAAACATCCTTCAAATACATGCTAAAAGTTCAGTCATAAAACCATGAGAAGAAATTTCCTTCACTCCCCCTACTGACCTACGAAGCACTAAAGACAGTGATCTCTACATATAAAACATTAACCTTCTAAAATCTTTTATACTTCATACAGTTACTAGAACTCTCTAAATTTTGGAAATCCTGATGTCACAGATCTTAGTTACCAGTAACTGAAAGAATGGAAAATAAATGTTATAAAATGAAACTATGCCTGATTAAACACAAGTAGATGCTGAGAGCACTGGCTGAAAAAAGATACAAACAGGCAGGAAGTTATTTCCCAGGGATGGATCACCAATTTTTTGAGAAAAGAAAAAATTTGCAATGTTTCTTAAAAAGGGATTCTAAAATAGAAAATTAAATTAGAAGAAACAGAAAAGGAACTCCAAAATAGTATCAATGAATGCAGGATTCAAAAGAGTCAGCCTTTGAAGAAGCAGCCCCTAAAACTGGTAAGCACCAGCAATTCCTAAAATCTACTATTGTTTTAAAAGAAAAATTCAAATGAGCACTCTGCTAATAGAAAGACAGAGGCAGTCTGCCAGTAATCATTTGGGCCTACAGGAGAGAGGAGAAGGTATAATGTGTAAAGTTTTGGCCTCTTGTCAAACCACTGAGGATTTCTTGAGAAAGGCAATTAACACTTTGATCAGAAGAATCAAATCAATGTTTAGGTATGCAGAAGCATGAGCTAAATCCAGCCTACTTTATTTCTGCTGTTTAGTAAAGTCTTTGATACAATTTGTCTTCTACTTAGTAAAAATCATATAATTTTATATGTCATAAAGCCAAAATTTACCTTTTACATGGAAAATAGCCAATGTGAAAATGACTGAGACATTGTGAAACAACATAGCAACAGAGATTCCTGTTTCCAAAAAGCAGAGGTGAAGAACACCTTGTTCTTGCTAAACTTCATACTGCCCACAATGCTGTTTGCTTAGGAAAGGGCTCAAGTTCTTCATCATTATTTATTTAGCTTTCCCTTTCCATAATGAAACGCTTATAATTATCAGACACATCTAGTGAGGTCTTGAAAACTCAAGGTGGGGGAAGGGACTAAATTTCCACTCCCCCCTACTTACTTATGCTTTTTTTTTTTTTTGCGACTGAGCCTCCAGCTGT